GGATATATGTATGTTTATGCTTCCACTATTTTTTTCTCATTGATTTCAACATGGACGGTTATATTTGAGAATTAGGATTTAATTAATGTTTTTGATCGATAATCCTTTTCTGTTTTTCTATCAGGCCATTGGTTATCTGATTGAATATTAATGCTTTAGCAAAGGTTATAAAAGTGTCTCGCGTTTTGGAAAGTTTGTCCGAGGCTCAAGTCTTGAGCCGTGAACGTGAGGCTTTCATTAAACACCTCGAAGATTACATCTTGATTTATTGAGGGTTATACCTTGATTATATTTATTCTTTTGAGTTATCTCAATGGTTTTCTTGAGGAGTTGAGGTATACGTGTTGAACTAGCTAGATGTTCGTTTTATTTGAGAGAAGGTCACCATGAGAGATCACATGTTCAAGTGGTTGATATCTCAACTAAACAATTAACTATTTCTCGTTTCGTGATGCTCACTTTAGCCGCCCAAACTTTGTTTCACCTTACAATATATATTAAGCAAGATAATTTGTCAACTTGTAACCTTATTTGAGTTATGCTTTGATATCCTCTAGAGTTGAAGCATTGGTGCATTGATGTCCTTCTCCGCCATGACTCTCCTTTTCGCTTCAATGTAAAATTTCTCGACTGGACTTCCAATTGGGAACATGTTGATCTGCTGTGCTCAAGGACGTGCATTATTAATGAAGAAACATGAGCTATATTTAATTTAGAAAGACAGTGGTAAATGGATAAAAGTCAATTGAATGTGCGGTGAATAGTTATGCGTTTAGTAAAAATTTCTTTTAAATATTATATTTAAGAACCGGCAAAAATATGGTCGATTTAACCGTTATTTCATCGATCTCCTAACATGCGGTTAATATAATGTAATTGTACTGGAATGTGGTCAAGTTCCCGATTTCCCAATTAGCCCGATCCAACTTTTAAAAACATTTGACAATTCTTATAACCGTGACTAACACCACGTCCCCAATCTCCGCTGCCAGAATAGGGATGTAAACTTGTCGGGTCAAGTCGGCTCACAATTTGAAATTCGACGCAACTCGAATAAAATCGGATTGAGTTTTTTTTTTGGCCCAAGCCGAGTCAAAGCTTGGCCGAAAAAATGGGGCTCGGCTTGGGCCCTTATGAGCCTAGCCAAGCTGGCTCATTTTTATTTTTGAAGGCAGCAAGTAGTTGCTCTATTTCCAAGACACGTGCCAAAATGGCTCATGTTGGTGTGGCTGACACTGGCCGGCTCGGGCCAAAACTTGAAAATGAGACTTGGCCCAAGCCTCAGCTCAAGCTGTGAGTCGTTTGAGCCGACGAGCCGGATTCACATCCCTATGCCAGAATCTCTTATGGTGAAATCGGTTCTCGAACCTAATTACCGGGCTAATCAACTAATGCCAAATCTAAATTCATAGATGAAATAAAATTCAAATGAGTAATATAATCTAGTGTCAGTCTGTGATATTAATAAGTTCAATCAAAGGTGAATTATGTGATTCATTTCACTGTATCTTTCATTTTATGGCGCCCCCGAGACTCAACCAAATTGCCGGTAATATCAGTTGCTAGTTTCCCATTGCAGAACCTTCCGGTACGTTCCTGTTTCTTGAAATCTCTGCCGTAATGACTGCAGACGCAATTGTGACAATTTACAGCCTTTAAACCAAACCAATGGCCAATTCCAATTCTGCAGAAATTTGAATTTCTAGTTTTAATTTCAGCTGGGAATTAATAAGGCATGTCAAGATGAAAATATTATACTTGGTTAATGAATCAATCTTGTGTTAGTATTTATGAGATGAAAGTTGAGATACCAAGTGAATCCGTATATTTACTGCCAAATTCGCAAAATTGTCTGCTTATAAATTGGTTCGTAGTTTGTTCTTCCCTCTCCCAGATAAAATCGATTTGCTAGTGAAGAGATTTTGGTAAAGGAGGTTGAGGACGATCCAGTGTTAGTAATGGATATAGGAATTTTTAATTGAATTTGGTGTGTTCGTGACGAATAAATTTGACAAATCATTTCTATGTTGGAATGAGAAATTTTGAAAAAAAATAAAAAATTAGGAACTTTTAAACTCATGGTTAGTTATATTTTAACTCGTTAACCCTATGGACCTCATCACAGTTTTTCTTTCATTGATTTTCCATCCATTTTCCATCAAACCTTCAAAGTTCAACCTTCAGAACCTACATACCCACTCGCCTCGCTGATTCACCTGTACAATACCTCAAAATTATTTTTCTGTAGAACGAAGGTAAGAATTCTACAAAACGAAACAAAGTTCATTTCCGCATCGCAACGCCCATCGGAATTCATTCGTTCCAACGCTCTCACCAAGCGCGAGTTTTGATTTGAACGAGTGTCATTAGTCAATCTTGCTTATCCCAATTCGCTTCACCACTGCATTCCTGATCGCATCGGTCTGCATGTAAACCCCATTGGGCTCGATCCCTTCCATGTAATTCCGCACCTCCTTTCTTATCATCTCCTGCAAAGTTGCCAAAAACTCCTGGCTAAAAAACTGTTTATCCGCAACAGCTTGTGATGGCGATGGTGTTGGTTTCGCTGCTGCAGCGAACTGCTGAGTCTGCAGCAAAACTGACGCCGGCGGCGGAAAAGTTAATTGAACGGGGGGAGGAAGTGGTGGTGGTAGTGGTGTCGGGCACTGGGCTATCTGGGTATGATACCCTGATTTAAGAGCAGGTTCATGTAAAGGTTTGAGGGTAGGGTCTGATATAGGTTTCATTTGTTGGGACGCAGATTTCGGGCTCGATTCTAAAACGGTTTTTGAATTGGAACTAGACCCGGGTAACGAAAGGCTAAGTGATGTAAGGAGGTCTGGTTGAGAAGGCGTAGAATGAGGAGGAGAGATCCCGCCGGTTCTTGCAATAGGTCGGTAAATTTGATGACCTGAAAGGCTTGAATCACTCAAATCAGATCCGGATGGACTGCTAGGATCTAAATAAAGACCGGAGCTACAAAGTTTTGTACTCGGCCCGACACTTGAAGATCTCTTCAACGGCTGCAGAGTTTCAGGCTCGAAGTTATTGAACTCCTCGGACATGGAAAAGCACTTGCGCTTCAGAGTCGAGTTCCAGTGATTCTTGATGGCGTTATCCGTCCGGCCAGACAATAATCGAGATATTGTTGCCCATTTGTTGCCAAATTTCGAGTGAGCCCGAATGATTGTCTCATCTTCTTCAGCTGTGAAAGCCCGATGCTGCACTTCAGGGGAAAGCTGGTTGCACCACCGCAACCTGCACGATTTCCCAGACCGTCCCGCAATCGATTTGCTAATCAAAGACCAGTTTCTAGGTCCATGCTTCTCCACCAACCTCTGCAACAGCTCATCCTCTTCCGGGCTCCACGGGCCCTTGATCCGATCCATTTCTTTCCTCTGTGATAACACCGCCATAACCAAGAAAATGAAAACCCAGGCTCTAGATTCAAATTTCTGTATGTACAGGTGTATGGAGAGACGGAGCGTCACCTCAGTATGAGAGGTTGGCAGAGAGAATGGGATATGTATGTATATAAGGGTGAACCGGGACAATGGCAGTTACAATACAGCTGGCAATGTACACGTGTCGATTGTTAGAAGGCTAGATGTCACTTAATATAAATCACACTAATAAAATCTCGTGTATTTTGAAAGGGAAAATTAAAAATTAAAAAAAAAAAAAAGTGTGTGTAGTTTTGGAAGGTAGATTGAAGTTTGACCGCCAAGTCTGCCAGGCTGTATAGCATAATAGGGGGAGGGGGGATTTGATTTTTTTTTTTTTCGGATAGAGAGAGATTTTCATTTAAGATAATTGCAATAGCGGTCCCAAACGTTTTTTTTTTTTTTGCAAATTTTACATCGACCTTAACTTTGTGCTAATTACAGTTCCAAACCTTTAATTTTATTACAACACAAAGACTAATATTAGTTGACAAGAAAAAATGGACTTTGATCAATTTTGACCAAATTGAGAAGATTAAATGGTATATTTACATTTTCTTAAATATTAACCATTAAAACAACTAAACTTAAAAAAAAAAAAAAAAAGGGAAATCTACCCCCAACCAAATCCAAAACCAATACTCAGAAATCGAAATATCAACATCATTCATTGCCAGGATGGTAAATTTACACGCCATTAATCTTCAATGGCGATTCCCCTCCTTCAGTTATTGCAATAGTGATAGATTCGAAATGTTTTTCGATGCATCTTCTCAAATCTGTCGCTTGTTACTTGCCTTGCTTTTTATCCGCCTCCTTCCATCTCCATTCACATTGCCAAGAGTCCAATGAGATATGTGATATAAGAAAAATAATAATAATAATAAGTTGCCATGGGAATCATGTTGCTCACCAATAATAAATCGAAGAATCGAATCAAAATTGCAAGAATCAACGTTATTAAACCGCTTGTAACGACAATTTTGTCAAATGAAGCTCAAATACAGGACCATAGAGTCACTATGATTCTTAATTGATTCATATATTCTCTAGTCTAGTTATGAAATTGATATCAAACAATTAAATTTCTCAGTAGGCTTGTAGAGAGTGAATTGGGAATTTTTCGATGGTTTCTTGCAGTAGTACATCTTTTTGGTTGACTTTAGTAGGTATCTTTGATTTTTCTTGTTGTCTAACTTGAATTGAGAGGGAGGTAGTGTGAATGGAGATGGAGGGGAGCCACTACAGTTTAGGAGATTGGACTAGAGTTTTTCCCAGTGTTTTGACTATTTTTTGAGATAATTTAAAGGGTACAGTTTCTACACAGTCTTCACACTGAATGCCCGTTAAGTTTTCAATACATAATATCATATGTGTTTGCGGTTGGGGGTTAGACATGTTCATTATGTTAAAGTTACAATGCTGAAGTGAAGATGGGCAAGTGTAGGCGGAGGAGAAGACACAGTGGACTTGGGAGAGAGAAGAGAGTGGCGGCGTAGTCTCAATTGCCTATAAGGAAGAACGAGAAGAAGACAAATGTGAATACGGAGTGGAGTGACACACATATTTTTTAAGTAATTGTTCTAATGGTTAATATTTGAAAAAATGTTAATATAACATTTTACTCTTTTTAATTTGGTCAAAGTCCACTTTTTTGTTCAATTAACGGTTAAATGAATGGAATATATCCGTTTGTCCTTGTGCTGTAACAAAGTGAAGGTTTTCGGACTATTGGTAACACAAAGTGAAGATTGGTGTAAAGTCAGCGAAAAAATAGAAAGGATTGGGACTACTTCTGTAATTATCCTTTTTGATTGTAATTAAGGATATAAGAAAACGACAAACAATGATGTAATGTGGTTGAGGCCAGGCTGTAAACTGACACATCCTAACGGCAATTTTGAACTACCCACGCAAATTAAGGTCATTGTTTTCTTTCCTATCATGCTACCACTTATTACTTTTCATAAATTAAAACAATAATTTTATTTTTTATTTACACCCAATCTTTTACTATTTTATCATTCCATTTTGTGTGTGAGAGAGAGAATGGGATGGTGGTTACTTAGTGGCAAGATGGAAAAATTGGATGAGGAAGAATAATTATTATTTTTTTTAGAAAAATTTATTTTAATTTGAATTTTTTTTATTCTCTTTTTAATTTTGGTGGCGGTGACAGCGACAGTGAAGTAAAGAGTGAGAGTTGGGTCAGAGTGAGATTATTACGGAAGATAAAAAATTATTAAAATATTTAAAATTGTTTTAAGTTGGATTCATTTGCTTTTTTGAGAGTTTAGGTTATCGTAAATATTTCTTTATTTTCTTTCTTATTTTTTATTTTTTATTTAAAGAGGGAGATAATTTCTTTATTTTACAAGGCTTGAACAAGGAAATGGACGTTACAGATAATTTACATAAAGTTTGAATAATTTGAAGTTTCAAATGTCAAAATTAAAATTGACATGAATTATACTTTTTGAAACATAACTTTTGCCATTTCCTCGTCCTTATCCAACTTGATTCCAATATTACGCCACATGTCTTGTCTTTGTCGCGTAAACACAGAGGGTAAAATCAGCAAAAAAATTGGGTTAAAACTAAGCCCTTGTCCCATCCTCATTTTTTTCAAATTATATTTCTCCATCTGTTTAAATCACACATTTTTTTAATAAAATAATATTACACTTAAATTTAAAAAAAAAAACTATTTTTTAACCACACATTCTTCGACAATCTACTGTTCCAAAAAAGTAATATTATTCATTCCCAGTGAGAATGAAAACACAGTTTATGTAATTTTAAATGATATGTTAAATGAAATGTGAAATGAAATGACTTATTTAATTTCACCTATCATTTAATGCCACATTGACGCTACGTAGACTGTGTTTTCATTCCCAGTGGGGATGAATAGCATTACTCATTCCAAAAGAGTAACGCTATTTGTCCTCATCGGAGTTTCGAATTCAGTTTAGATGATGTCAATGTGACACGAAGTGCCTATTTGTCAACAATTATTGAGAAGAAAATGGTGTAATGAATAGTATTTTTTGAAAAATATGTGGTTGAAATTAAAAGAAACTTTATCGATTTATGTGTAGAATATTTTATTATTTGAATGTGTGGTAAATATTTATTACTGTAAAAAACAATTTTTTGAAAAATAGTAAACAAACAGAGGCTAAATGATAAGTCACTTTTCATTTAACTTATCAACTAAAATCATTTAAATTGATATTTACGTAACATTATTCAGTTCAAAATGCATTCTACACAAAAGTTTCCACGCGGTAGCCGCTGCTCCTCTTTTAGTGGACCGCCAGCTGTCTGGAAAATGTAAATCTGTGAGGTTCAAATGCAAAGTTGCTGCCGATCTCACGTACTTCTGTCCTTTGCCCGTACCCACGCACGTACATTATTGTAGCACGTGAGTCGTCCATACCCGAATGCTTCTTTAATCAGCACACGAACGAGGGCTATTTCTGGTAACTAATTTATTATACCAAAAAATGTGACAGGAAAGAAAAATTTAATGCCATATATTATACTAAATATTTATGTTTTAATTTTTTCATTCAATCAATAGAATTTAAGACTTTATAGCTTCTAGGAATTACAAGTATAAATATTTAAATCTTATCGAATATAAAATATACTGATAGATTGAAGGATTCACGTGGTGCCGAAACAAAGAGGATGATGTTATAATTATTAAAAATAAAATTAAAAAATAGTATATCAAAAGGAATTATGTACTATCAATTGTCCATCTCCTACATGATGTTAAGTGGGACTAATGAGCCGACTCGAGTAGCTAAACTCGAGTATGAGCCGAGCGAAATAGAAGCTCATGCAAGAGCTCACGAGTCAAGGCTAGGACATGCAGACTGCACGATGACAATAGTGTGCCATCAATTCAGCCTGAATTCAAATTTCATTTTTTATTTTGTTGAATTCTAGTCCATAAATAGAGACATGAACCAACTTAATCAAACATTCACGTCTCTCTACAATCCTGTTAATATATCACACTCACCCTTTTAAGAGTATAAATTCAAAATTATTATACAGTTCTTCTTTTGTTTTCAATTTTTTCAGTAACAATTATTTCTATTGGTTGAAGTTTTTTCCTAAAGTTTCTACAAATTCGTAATAGATTACGCTGAAGTAATGAACGTTGATAAGGATTTTGACTTATTCTACAATAAATTCAATGCCTCCGTCTACAACTTTTTTTTCAAACCAGCGATATTTCAAATTTGAAAAATACCGATACTACCAAATTGACAACCACTAGTGATAGTCTCTACATAGAGAAAGAAGGCAAAAGCTCATGAGTCATAAGCCTAAATTTGGATGTTAGAAATACTTTAAAATAAAAAAGGGATAAATGAGAATTAGAAGCAGATTATGAAAGCATATTGTAATTATCTTAGAAAGGAACTTCGCTTGAAAACCAAAAATTGATATTGTATAATAGACGTTACAAAAATGCATTGTTCATGTTTGGAGCTCTCGACAGTAGGCATGTTCAACTTCAAACTCGTTCCGGCCAAGAGGAACATTTTAGAGTAGCTCTTGCAAATTGGATTTATAATCCAAAAATAATACGAAGAGGTACGATAATTAATGATTATAATTAATTATTGAATTAAAATCAAATCAACCATGGGCTAAATCCCACTCCACCTAATCTCCCTCTTGAATTATTGGTGCAGGTACATACGTACTATGCGTTTACCTACAAGTCACAACCATCGACGTGGCGCTGGAAATGGAAGGACCGACAGGTTCGTATCAATATCCGACAATATTTTAAGGTCAATCATAACCTCTATCCTCCAACGTCACAAGTTTGTTCGGTGGGTCTCTAGAAGGCGATCTGTTCGGTTGGCTGGCCCTTTGAAATTTTGATAAAACCGTTTGTCTTTTGTTAGCCAGCTATCATGCACTCCTTTCACGAGTCCCAATAA